GTTGCTCTATAGATGACAGACAATGCGAAATAACAATAACAATGAGTCGAACAATAAAATGTGCAAAAAAAAAAAAAAAAAAAAAAAAAAAAAAAAAAAAAAAAACCCCAAAAAAAAAAGGGAAAAAAAAAAAAAAAAAAAAAAAAACAAAAAAAAATTACAATCTCCAGCAATACGCAGTGAAAGCTACTAGATAATAAATCTTTCCGGAGTTGTAGGTGAGACGTGCCGGACCTTTAATTTACCTGTTTGACATGTGCGCGACGCTCGAATTGAATGCCCGCCGGATTATGATCGACAATGTCTAAGACCTGCTCTGCTGCTGCTGCTGTAGTTGTTGTTGTTGCAGCAGTTGTTGCTGCTGCTGTTGTTGTTGTTGCTGTTGTTGTTGTTGTTGTCGTAGGTGGTGTTTGCGTTGTAGCTGGCGCTGCTGCTGGCAGCGAGATGGAATCAACATTGCCCTCCATTAGCGCATCCGCCGCTTGCAGCATGTGCGGCATCGGCATTAGATTAATGGCGCCAATCGAGTTGGAGTTGCTGCTGCTGTTGCTGCTGTCAGTGTTGCTGTTGCTGTTGCTGTTGCTGTTGCTGTTGCTGCTCCGTAATCCAATTTCGATAACAATTTTATTGGGCTGCGCTGCCTGCTGATGCTGCTGCTGCTGCACGGACTGCGGCTGAGCAGTGCCCAGCAGCCGTTGCAAGTTTCTGGGATGCGTTGCCGCTGATATATAATTGAGATCGCTCTTGGATAGATGATGCTGTTGGAGCGTCGAGTACTGCTGCTCGACGAGGGCGGCGCGCGTTTGGGCCGCCTGATGGCCGCCATTGGCCGCCGCCGAGTCGCTGGCGACCTTTTCGCGCAGCTTCACGATATTCGATATGTTGATGCTGTTGGTTAGCGTGATGCCCGTGATGCAGACCAGCACGATGGTCAGCAAGACGCCGCAGATGACTAATGTGGGCATGCGAAAACATTTTCGGCTGCACATTTTGTACGCACACTTGTTGGCTCAGTTATCGGGCAGAGTTATCGTTGATCGATTGTTATCGCTGACGAGAGCGCACATATACATATATTACTACTACTACTATTTGTTGCTCAATTCAAATACAGTTAGAGTTTCTTGTTGTTGCTTTTGCAGTTTTGCATTTGCTTTAATTTTGTAGTCTTTGTCTTTTGCACTTTAGCCCCGCCGTCGCCTGTGGTCAGTCGGCTTCGGCTTCGGCTCGTCTGTGCCCTGAGTTCGGCTCTCGATTCGCTTTCGCACTCTGCCGCCCGCTGTGGTCAACGTCTGCCCCGTTGCGCTGCTGAAACTCGAATGCAACTGCAGCGGCGCAGCTGAACTCAGCGCATTGCTTTGACACCGTTGTTTGTCGCTTTCGTTCTCGCTCTCTTCGCAGCTTCAGCTTTGTCTCTCTCTCTATTTTTTGTTTTTTGTTTTGCGCTCTGCTGCGATAACTTCAGCTGCACGTTCACCTTGGCGCCGGCGCCGCCGCCGCTGCTGCTGCTGCTGACGGCAAAGCCATTGCAGCTGCGCGCTGCGCCAAGTCAACTTGCATGACGTCGCTCTGTTGTTGTTGTTGTTGTTCTATTGCGTTAGATTATATTTAGCTTGTTGATACTGTTATTGCCTTTGCAATTAGTTTGAATGAGTTTTAAGTTTGGTGTTTTTTTTTTTTTTTAATTATTATTATTTTTTTATTGCTTCTGCTGCTACAAAGGACCGTAGATAATACCAAAGAAAGACATGAGTAAGACACAAAATCCCTGAATCCACAACATATTGGAGCTGAGCCTGAAGTCGTTCGCTCGCCAAGCTCAACTCATTTGCCTATTGCAAAGCAATTGCTCTCTGTTTAACCACTAATTAAAATGTCTGCAACATGGCTGACCTCGCTTACAGTAATTCACGTTAATTCCGTTGACTTCTTAAATTCATGGCACCCCAAAATCAAGTAAGACTTCCCTAACTGGGGCTGCCCGACTTGTAGTTACCCTGCATTATTCGCTAGATTTACAAAGTCTTCAACTCCTGATTATTATTATTATTATTATTTATTTTTTTGTGCCAATATCTGGGAGGATGGCTAACAGGTATCTAAAATTCAAAATATATAAAGCCTCTATGGTCATTACAGAGATTAATATGTTTATTTAAAGTTGTCGAGCATTTACAGTAATCAAGTTATGTGAAAAAAATCATATTATCGATTTTTATCGATAGTATGAAAAAGCGGATATATAAAATTAAATAGTCATTATATATTTGAAATTTAAAATTCTTAGTTTTCTAAGCTTAAGAAATCGCAGAATTTACACTCGCAGAATTTACACTCCAGTTGTAGACCAACTAGTAGTTACCCTGTAAGTGCGTTTTACATCTGACATCTGACTCATTTCAATTGTGCAGCTCCATTAAGCTTTAAATAGTTAGCAAACTTTTTTTCACAGCTGTTTTCCATGCACTCTAATTAATCGAGCGACTCTAAACTTTTCTGGGAAAACTGAAAAGTTTTAAAGGCAATGCATATATGAAACCTATAAATTAATTTTCTACTGCACTTAAAATAATATATAATTTGTTTATAAAATTCAAGCTGACTCAATTCATGTCAAAATCCATTAGTTCTATATACCCACTGACATGCTTAGACATAGGGTATATAGATATGCAAGCTATGCTATGCTTTTGCCACTATTTAAGGGCTCTACGTCTTATTCTTTCTGCTTCAAATTAATTAAACAACGAAGACGCAGCTTCATTAATTGAAATAAATAGAAATACAAAACGAAAAAAGAAAAGACAAAAAAGGAAAAAAACAAAGCTCAAGATTGCGACACAAGCGGAACGTGAGAAAACTGGATGTGGATGGGTGCGTGTGCTGAATAAATGGGCAGAGGGCACGAGAGAGAAAGAGAGAGAGAGAGAGAGAGGTAGAGGAAGGGAGGAATGGTGGGCAGTCTCGGTGGGTCTGTGTGGTGCTGCGGGGAGCAACGTTTTTATTACTCGTCGATGTCATTTGCCCGAAAATATTTCGACTAGGCAACAGGCGTTAATATTCAATTAAGCGAATTCTTCGCTGTGTGTGAGTGTGAGTGGGTAAGTATAAGTGCGTGTGACGGAGAGAGAAAGCGAGTGTGAGTGTGTGTTGTATGAATTATACGCTCGTGCGTGTGGAAGCGTGTCAAAGCTCTCGTATGTCGCTCAATTAAATCCGCAAGTTTAACCCAAGCCACAAATAGAACAAAAAGCCACACGAATCCGAATTCAATTTCACAGCTGAGGCAGGAACCCCACGCAGGGCGCAGCGACTCTGGTGGGGGCCGAAACCGGGTCCGAGCACGTGTGCTGATCCCATGAAAATAAAACGCTCAATTCGAACAAAAGCGAGACTCAGACGAAGGCCACGGATTTGATAAGCTGCATAAAAGGGTATTACGAGAAAAAAAATCTGATTTACAGCATATATATAGAAAGAGAAGAAGTCTAATTTCTTAATTGCTTTGCGATAATTATGGGAATGGATCTAGAAGAGACTGAGGATGCCTCGAGTCTTCCTTTGCCTAATTCCAACTGTCTGAATGAGAGAACTCTATATAAATCTTTAATGCTAATGGAAGCAAACTGCAGAAGGGTCTATAAAAGGGTATTACGAGAAAATATATATAGAAGAAGTTTAATTTCTTAATTGCTTTGCGATAATTATGGGAATGGATCTAGAAGAGACTGAAAGTGTCTTGAGTTTGCCTTTGTCCAATTCCAACTGTCTGACTGAGCGTTCTATGTAGATCTCTAATGATACACGGAAACAAACTGGACCCGAATAAAAGAGTATTACGAGCAAAAGCTCATTTACAGCATAGAAGGAGTGGAAGTTCTTAATTACTTTGCGAAATTCATGGGGGGAATGGAACTAGAAGAGTTTGAAGGTGCCTTGAGTCTTCCATTTCCTAATTCCCAATTCAAGCTCTCTGAATATATGCTTTAATATCAAACGGAAGCAATCAGGAGAAATTTCCATTCACCATGCACAAGACAATGAGAGATGCCTAATGAGGGCAGAAAGACTATTGGGTTTGTTGGCAAAACAGCATCGAAATGTTCTCCTAATTCCACTCGGCACTCTTAACTATTATGAGTAAATGGCCTGCTTATAGTAGATGCTGCTGTTTGGCTGGAATAACACAACCGGGCCCAAGCACTTAAGGGCGATGCATTTATTTCATTGCATTGTTGTTCGCAGCTACACTCAAGCGAACAGTACTTAAGGTGAGCAGACTGCATACAACAATATAATGCCGGAGAATATGCATAGTTGGAGCTCTCGCATGCCAATGCACAAGATATTTTATTTGTGTGATTTTCGAGCGAGCATCTTGTCAAGTTTCGCCTCGGCTTTTGAGTAATTATTTTCAACAGCTTTTCGCTGGCGCTGCTCAAGGCGGCAGACCAGCAAACAGATTGCATTACGGACATAAATTTAACCAAAAAGCGCCCAACCAACGTGGCCCAGCCGCTGCTGACAATGGCACAGCCGGAAGTGTAGAAGAAGAATAAGTTCTGCATTTATGCAGGGACACGGCGTCTGTCTCACTGTGTGTGTGTGCGTGTGTGTGTGTACCTCTATCTCTATCTYCTGCTATCTACCTCTCACTCTCCTTCTCTCTGTGTATGCAGGCGTGTGGCAGGACGTTGGCAACTTTATTAAATTAGAGTAAGTAAATTGAAATTTTGCATAGCATAGTTTTGTGCGCAACGCTTCGTATACGTAATAAATGCATGCATGCAGCCAGCCAAATACCCAACGGACAACGTCAGGTCTTCAATTAAGTTTCATAACATATTTTACGCAATTACAAAAGAGTTAATAACATATCATCTGTTATTTAGATTTCATTTAAACTCGATACTATCCATATGCATGTGCACAAAATGTTTTCAGTTTGCACAGAAATTTCGCTTCGACTCGAGGGAATCGTATTTAATCTGTTTGTCTATTACTAGTGCAAACTAACTGTAATCCTTTCATTTCAGCATTTGATTTGTTCAATAATTTGCACTTTGCACTTTGCACTATTGTTGTTTCGTTGTTGCCAAACGAAAAATGTTTTGTTTCCATTCACACACACAAAGGATAATCAGAAACAAAAGCTGGAGATATGGCCACCATTTGGCATTTGGCATAGGCAAACACAACAGAGAGCGAAGCTTAGCTGTTGTTGGCCGACTGTCAACAGCGCTGACATATCACATGCACGTTAGATTATTATTAATTATTTAATAATTAGCTATCTGATGTCTTTTTCATTGGCGGTACCAAAGCAAACAAATCATCTACAACATCGTCAACGTCAACAGCGACGTTGACGGCAACGCGAGACGCACAAATGTTGCTAATAAATATTTATAAATCCTGTCTGCAAGTAAATATCATCAATTATATGGAACTGGCACTAATCATCAAATATATCAAATAACAGTGTTCTGGCCGATATGCAAGAGTTTCTTTAGTCGATCTGCCATAGCCATAAGGAGGAAGTAAGAAGTAAAAGCCCAATATACTCATATTTCACTTTTGAGAATAGTCATATTTATATTTATATTTAAGATTAAAGAAGCTAGAATGAGCTGAGCTAACTGAGAGCCTCTCAAAATGCTTGCTCACTCTTGTCGCTTAA